AAAAAAAAAAAAACCAAAAAACCTAATTAGTCTTGCTTTAAAAAGCCTCAGACATAAAACTGAAAGCCTCCCATAAAAGGGGAAAAAAAAGAAGATGCAATAAGTAGACTTGAACAGGGTCTGCTTATAAATATTCATTGGGAAAAATGGGATCACATCATTTATGCCAGTCCTCCGGGAACCCTCCCTGCTAATGAACTCTTGAAGCACATGTTAGTAATAATGGGCTTCCTTATTCTACAAGACAAAAACAGGATGCTGTGCCAACCTGGTGGCTCAAGTAACTAGCCTCAGCAGGCCGCCATGGAGTTTCCAGCTTCACATGAGTTCTGCCACTTGTAACTGGATTGATGGTTTTCATTGTGCTCTTGCTAGTGGTGGGGGGAGGTCAACATTCTTTATGTCACTGGTGTCTCTTTAGCCTTTCATCATCATGGACCACATTTGGGCCAGGGGCATCCATTCCTTCAAGCAGAGGCCATTCCCTGCCCCACCCACCCCCTCCAGGCCTTGTCAAAGCTTGTGGGTGCCCCTGCCTCAGGGGCTACCTTTCTGTTTCTAGGCATCCTTCCAACCACTCCTCCAGCTCACACTTTCCCTTCTCAGGGGCCAGCAGGAGGTCTTTGGAAGATAACTCAGCTCTATCTACCATGGAAATCTTGTTAAAAACTCAATTCCCCTCCCCTGCATTGCCTGGGGAAATTTTGAAAAAAAAAAAAAGAAAAAGAAAAAAAGAGGAGCTTGTATTCCCTGCCCTCTTTCCTGGCTACTGCGTATCTCTTTTTCCAGATGTAAGTATCTCTTGTGGAAGAAGGGTTTTATGATTGAATTCCGTGTCTATCCTGCCCCCGTCCTGCAACTCCCCCAGAGGCAAAGGAGTGCCATTTGTGAGAAGGGCTATGAGGCCTGCAGTGCGGACTGGGTCATCAGGACACTGTCATCTCTCCATCTCTAATACGTACTGAGATTTTGTAGTCACAACAGTAACCTCATTTAATGCTACATCACCCCTCTGAGGTGGGTGCTATTTCTAGACCCTGCTTATAGATGAGCCTACAGCATGACCAGAGTCTTACAGCTAATTGCATATTACCCAGGTGCTCTAACTTTACAGCTTGTACCTGATTTATTCCCCCATCTACTTTAGTGATATCATCATTGCCACTTTCATTTTCTGAAGACGAGAGATGGAAGTTTCCACTGAGATGTGGATGCAGGGAATCGTAGTCATATTTGGTTGGGGCCTTGGCTTTAAGACGGCCCTGCTGCATTGGGATGGAGCACCTTAATCCTCTCGGGGTCGTCATTCCCTGGGCCTAGCTGACCTCATTTGGCTTCATCTGCAACTGCTTTCAGTATTGAAAAACCTAAAGAGACCTCTGTGCCAAATTGCAATTGACAGCAGAGCTCTAGTCAATGGAAATATATTGCGATGCCCTCACACTATGGCTGGCTGGCTGGGGCCAAGTTTTAAGTCTCATTCAAAGTCGTCAAAGCCTTTAATGTATCATTTTAGGCCTAGCTGATACAAAACCAAATCAGACCTGATTGAAGATCTTCAATAATTAATCAGAATCCTTTAAGTCAATATGATCTTTTTCTTTTTGGGTACTTAAGCCTACTCTTGATGCAACTGACCAGTAGTGAATGAGTGAATGAGCAGTGTGTGAGCCGTGCGGCTTTGACATAAGCCTTGGCAACCTCTCCGTGGTCTCTGTTTCCTTAGTTCCCTGTAAACAGGGGATAAGGATGCCTGCATGTGGAGGGTTATTGTGAAATTTCAATGATCAAGTACGAGGAATACATAGCACTCAGTGTGGTGTATAGCAGATAACAAATATTAAATTATCTTCAAGAGAAAGGACTCAAGAGGACAAAACTCTGCAGTGGGAAGAACATGTCCTTTAGGGACAGACAAAATTAGATTTGATTTTTGCTTCTACTACCCCTGTGTTGCATGTCATCAATTTCTTCACAGATAAAAAGGGAAATACTCAGCTCACAGGGTTCTTACACATCTTAATAACAATGATTATAAAATCACTAATGTTCATTAAATCTTAATAGGTCGTAAATATTAACTCACTAAATCCTTTTCACTAACCTCATGTTAGATAACATGGGCAAAATATGGAGTAAGACGTTTGTTGTATAGCAAGTGCTCCCTAAATGTTAAACTTCTTCCACATTTCTTTTTCTCTGTGATTAACCATTGAGTCAGAGATAAGACAACTGATTTTCTGACATGAGTCCAGAATATGCCACCTCCTTTAAATGTCATGCATTAAAAAACTTAAAAGATGTGCAATGTAGGAAATGGCATTGTTTTTTCCAGAAAGGTAAGGAAGCATTACTCAGTGCTTTGAAATTCTCAGCTTCCTTGGCTTTGAGTGCATAACAGTGATTCAGCATGGATACATACCACTTCCTGAAACAAGAAATCTGACCGAATTTGATCCACAGCGCAGATATTGCCCATATCCATAGTGCTGATGAGTCCTGAGCTTGGATTACAGTTTATTGTTTAACCTTCTCCAACAAGCAAAGACAGAAAGAAGGTCTTGTAGGGATTGATAGGTTGACAGATAATTTCCATTTTTATGTGGGTACCCTTGGTCTCTAGAGGGCTAGATCTGGATATCAATGAAAAGGTTGAGTCCAAACTGTCTTCATCTTCCTTCCATGTGAGAGAAATCACACTAGTGAGCCCTTTAGGTATTACATTTCTTGGAGGATAAAAACAGAAAAGCTTACGGAATAACTTTGGCTGGCCTTAGAACCTGATACCTGAAACTTCATTTTCACTATCATCATCACCATCTGGGCATTGAGTTCAAATACAGGTTGAACTGATTTCATTGGTTTAGCTGGTATTAGATTTTAAAATGATATTTGTCCTCAGCAGACCCTGTTTTTTTTTTTTTTAATATTAACCTTTTATTTGTTTTTCTTCTGATTAGGGAAAAATTCTCAACAGAAAAGGATGCTGTCCTATTTGCACTGAAAGTAAGTTTATTCCTTTGAAAATATGCTATTAGTGTTTGTTTTGAATTTGATAGTGCAACAAGAATAATAGGGGTGTATGTTTCCCACACATTTTATTTTTGTAGGTATGTATAGGATGGGATCATCTTACCTCCCTACAGACATTTTAGTCAATTATAATCCTCACACAGAAGCACAACTGAGACAAACATAGATATTTCCATCAGAATTTGTTGCTGTGAGAAATTAAAAATATAAATGGTTTGATTAGATTTTTAAAAGGACCAGATAACTTAATGTGCATTTTAGCATTTGTAGCCATAGCGGCTAAGATCATGCTATCCAGTAAAACCAAACATTATACAAAGTCTAGGAGGGGCTTTCCTTCTCCCGTTATAAAACCAAACAGCAGCATGTCCTGCTCCTTCACCTCACCCCCACCTCATCACCATTTCACCTGGGTGCATCCAGTCTGGCTGTTGGCAGAGAGAAAACCAGAAGTCATTGGGTGGTTTTGCCAACTTATTGTACTCATGTGTCATATAACAGGATGTGAAATGCATTCTGAGAAATGCATACTCAGGCAATTTTGTTGTGTGAATATCATAGTGTATATTTGCACAAACCTAGATGGTGTAACCTACTACACATCTAGTCTATATGGTATAGCCTGTGGCTCCTAGGCTAAAAACTTGGATACCATGTTGCTGTTCTGAATACTGTAGGCAATTGTAACACATGGTAAGTATTTGTGTATCTAAATAGAAAAGGTATAGTAAAAATGCAGTATTATATTCTTATGGGACCACAGTCCTATATATGGTCTATTATTGACCAAAATGTTGTTATGTGACTCATGACTATTTTTAACTAAATTCTTGAAAGTTCCTTCTAAGCATGGCCTATTTTGGAAGTCATCTGCTACTGTACTACTTATCACACAGACAGAGCATAGCAATAGCTTCATATCATCCCCACATGTAGTCACATGCTTAGATCTATTAGCAAATTGCCATCTTAGTCCTCTTGAAAGTCATATGGTTTTGAGATAGCTTCCTGGAGTGTCTCACTGATAGAGGGGAATTAGTAATGTCAAATTAATTCCCATGTATGATAAGTAGGATTAACAAAGTCATAAAATCTATCAGTGTATTTTATAAGCCAGTTACGTTTAGAGAAGTGAGCTGGAAGACAGTTGAAAGCAGCTTTCACATGGGAACAAGTTTGTTTTTTGCACTTCTCTAAAACAGGGTTATTTTACTAGAATTACTAAACTCTTATTTTTTAATTGATTAGTGACTTTAGATAATATATATGCAGGGTTATTATATATGTGTGTGTATTTATATAAAACTATTAAATATAATATTTATCTATATATTACTATTTTTAGAAGCAGAGAGCTATTAAACAATTACATATTGGATAAAAAGGCGGGTTGAATTAATGAAAAATAAATTACAGAAGTAATAAAAAAGGTTTACTTTAAAGATAATGAAGTACATAAAATAACTCAAAGGAGGCCAATGAAGTATGGCTTAATAGAATCCAGGAATAATGTGGGAAGACAGGTCAACTATGATGAACACACCAGTTGATTTAAAAACATTTGTGAAATCTAATACATTTAATCATCCTCCCAGAGACCCTGAAGAAACTTTATTTAGGGATAGTTCAGAGGCTGCCTTCCACTTAATTCCTTTCTGGATAAGCAGGATCGAGTCTACATTGATGAAGTTTTCCTTTGTATCCGTGTCAATGGAGATGTTTGCGTTTCCCTATAAAGTGTCTCCCAGTTGAAGCAGAGACAGACCTCATAGGAATGCCTCATATTTTCTAGTTAACTCTTTTGATTTGCATGAGCACAGACCTGTTACATCTGCCAATTGCATTGTTGTCAGGTGGGATCACTGCTTAGCAGCTTCATACAAACCTATGACCAGCCAGACGCAGTGACTCATGCCTGTAATCCCAGCACTTTGGGAGGCCAAGGAGGGTGGAACACTTGAGGGCAGGAGTTTGAGACCAGCCTGACCTAAATCTTGAATTATCTGACTTTATGTTGCAAGGATCAAATAAGTGATTATTGAGATAATTGAGAGGAAACCTACATTATATTATTATCTGATTCATTACGAGCTGGCCTTTCCATATCTAGAAAACTGGTGACGTCATAAAGAAAAAGAAAATAATAAAAATAGAAGGATAGGTATGATAAAATAGAAGGAAGCGTTTAACTGGTTATATTAAGTACCATATTGTGTTCACCATGTGAATAAGCTCATGCCTTCTATCACTGAGAGAGGCAGTTGGCAAGAGAGAAAGCCACCCAGCTGGAGGGGCACCAGGAGGACAGTGACTCTGCACCTGCATGGAGCAGGTCAGTCAGCGCTGGAGGAGCCCAGGCATGTGGTTCTCTGTCCAAATCTCAATTATGTCATCAGATAGCTATTTCTCAATTTCCTTCGGTGTTCTTTCCATCTGTTTACTCTCTCCTGCTCTCCAGCAGTTCTTCCATCACTGCTGTAAAATGCATTCTATTTGGCGAGGCTTATTTGTTCAGATTGAGTTAAGAGATGGGATGACTTCCAATTTTTAAGCAATGCCCAGTTTTTCATAACACATTCAGGTAGATTTATTCTGATGTCCTTTAGCTGTGGCTTTGAGACCTCCTACTTTGAAATTTCTTTGTCATTATATCCAGGAGTCAGAGCAAACCTTTGGGCACGTGTTTTCCTCCTTTGTAAATTATGAAAGCTCTCTTGATATATGGCTTTCTAGAGCAGAGAAACCAAGGCTGAAACTATAAAAAAGGCTAGTGTTTTCTAAAGCCAGAGAAACAACTAATTTATATCTTATTAAAACACATACACTCCCCCTCTTTCTCTGGCTGGCAGAGTTTTCAACCTCAGTCTTACTGAGTTTGGCCAGATCATTCTCTGCTGTGGGACTGTCCTGTGCATCGCAGGATCTTTAGCAGCATCCCTGGCCTCTAACTACTAAATGCCAGTAGCATCCCCTGCAAGGTTGTGACGACCAAAAATATATCCAGACATTGCCAAATGTCCCCTGGGGAGCAAAATTACCCTGAATTGGGTGCCACAGGCATTCCAAATAGGGAAAACAGTATGGGTGAATGCAGACATGAGCACCTGTGGTACTAGTAGCAATAACACCCTCAACATCTGTGGACGTGTTTTCAACTATTTAGTCTATATGTTTGTAAGCTACTTCCAGCCCTTTTCTGAAAGGAGGCAAGAATAAATCCATACACACATACATGCATACGTAAATTAAATGGATTGATTACAGAGCTTCAAATACTCTCCAATTTATTTTGGTTACCTGTGGTAGTTAAATGAATGTTGCATTATTTTCAGCAGTAGTGGCTTCGCATTGTCTGTTTCTAAAATCCCACAGAATTTCTCCCTTGCTGCCTGGATTAGTCTTAATCTTGGTAGTGTCTGGGGGCTGTCTCAGACCTCCAAAAGAGTAATGAAAAGGAAACTCAAAGTACATGTATAGAATATTCTTATGGACCACTCCTTGCAACAGTCAACAGTAATGGTGATTTACAGTTCTGTAGGTAGGAGACAATAGATGAAGTACAACGCTGTTGTCCTCTCCACAGTAGGAACTTTTATTTTGTAGGATTGGCCTGAAGGAGCAATAATTCTCTCAAAATAGGAGAACAAAAGTCCTCTTAAAATCATAGGTGAAGGAAGTACGAAAAGCAATGCTGTCTTTTAATAATGTGAAACTGTCTCTCTTTCTCCCTTTCCAACTGAAAATAATTAGATTTGATTTTGATGATTTACTTAAAATAAAATATTTGAAGTGGGCTACACAAACTTTATAAAGTTTTCTTGCAAATGCTCTTTCTTGCCAAAGTGTGAGGCTCTACCCTAAAGCCAGTCTGGCCTTGCCTCAGCTGGGCTCACATGAGCACGGGGTGGGTGCCGGGGAAGCCACTTGCCTGTTGTGTGTGTAGCATTTGGTTTATGTGAAGTGTTGTTTTACTGTGGGTTGGCAAATAGTAGGTGGAATCTTGACCTAACCACCCAACAGAGACCTGAATCAGATAAATTCTTTGCTGGCAGGGTATCTGTTTTCTGACATGGAAATAATACATAGTGTCAAAGTTGTCACTAATAAGAAAGGTGAGTGTGAGGTGTGTGTAGAGAGAGAGGGAGAGGGGGATGGAGGGAGGGGCAGAGAGAGAGACTAAGATTGACAGATTGAGTATATGAGAAAATTAAATCTCTCAGCCTTCTACAAAAGCAGAGACAACTAAAGGCAGCCCAGACATACATGCCCAGCCCCTGGTGTCACAGGCTCATTAAGCTGTACCTGTAGCTGCATCAGACTTAACCATCAGAATCCCAGCCTGAAACACAAGCTCACGATTACATAACACTGAGGCCGATTGAATATGCTGAGCACAGATGTGCATTTAATTGAAATAACCTCAACTACATGTCCCACAAGTAACAGGAAATATCAGATGTCAGCTGCTCAGGGTGGGAGGAGGCTCACAGTTGCCAGGTGACTTTTTAACCTCCCCTGGGGTTAGTTTCCAGCTGTGTGCAGGCTGCATTGATGTGTCTGCTCCCCTAGCGGCCCTGCCTGCTGCCTGCACCCACCACAGACACTAGTTTTGACATATCTGTAAGCCCTCTGGGATGCGTACAGGTATCTCCAATTAAACAGAGTGGCTGTAGAAGGAGTAGAATATAACAATTTCATTTATTTCCCTGGGGGGGAAAAAAAAAACCCGTAATGAAACAGTAACCTAGGGGCCCATTTTATGAGAAATCTCTATTGACAGAGGTTCTGCAAATTAATGATTCTGTGTTTGAACAAAGTTTCTGGCCTCCAGGGCTGTAAGCAACTCCAGGTCCCTTAATACCAGGAGTCTGTCCTTAACTCAGGAAAGCAAGGAAATTTGAAACCAGAGCTCAGGATGCTTGTAGAATAAGAATTTGTGGTGTTGACTTTAGCCCTGCCAAGGAGGTGTTAAG